CTACTGTCTTTCTAAAACTTATTTTACATACTTGGTGTAGCCCAAGTCACATTAGGTATTACTGTTGATTTGTTTGGGTGCTTATGCTACGTATTTCCATGGCATTTTGGCTTCTTGAAGGATTATTATCCACCAATAGCTAATTTAAAAATTGCTTGTGCTTTTTAGTGTCCCCATGGAATTCAGTGGTTTTCAGGTGCCAGTTCAGGCATTTGGTAGATTGACTAGAAAAATAATTGTTTAAGCCGTGCCGGGATAACTGTGAGGTGGCTGTTGCCTCGACAACTGGAATGCTGTTCTGTTTGCTAAACGAAGGAATGAAAATTTAGTAGTTTGATTCCCCTTTTGGCATGGAGGTGCTATCTAAAAGCATTTTGTTTTAGCCTCTGAGATGGCCTATATTTTTTACCACAGAGAAGCAGAACAAAAAGAAAGTAGGAGTTTTTTTTCTGGTGATATACAGCTAACAGGGCTGGTGTTGACCAGGACAGAATCTTGGTTAACCTGCTGACACAGTTCTTTGGGTGAACCTTTGTGTTGGGTCAGAGCACAGTAGCCTCAGAATAGGTATGTTGTCTGGTTGTCTTTATGCGACACGAAAGGGCTGTGGTGGACTTGATGGAGAGCCCCCATGGATGGTTAACCTTTCTCGCTGCTAGAATTCAACACGATTACTTTTTTTCTGGTAAGGGGGATATTTTAAACACTACCCCCTATATTTATAATTATACTTTCAACTGTTCTAGTTATATGGAGTCTCTCTTGTATAGGATTACAAATGTTTTAAACTCACAACCATACCCCAGATAATTAAGTAATAATAATAGCCTTTATTTGGTATTGTATGCTGGGTCCTGTTCTAAGCATTTTACATGTAGCATTTCATTCTTCATCGCTGTGATATAGTCACTATTTGTTACATCCAGAGGTAAGGTCTTTTGGCTACTAAGTGGTAGATTTGAACCTAAGCATCTAATTCAAGAGCCTGTGCTCTTAATTACTGTGTTACACTGACCCTTATTAATAAAATCATTCCATATGCATGGAAGAATGTAGAAAAGTGTTAATAAGAAAATTCAGAATAGCCCATAATCCCAGTCACAATAGATTGTAGCACTTTTTGTTGTTCTGGTGAAGTAATACAATATCTAGGGTTTCCTTGAAAATAATCTGAGTTTGGGAGGAATGGGTAGGTGTATAGATGAGGCAAAATTGTCTGAGGTGATAATTGTGGGAGCCAGGTTATAAGTCTATGAGGCATTTATTATACATTCTATCATTTTTATATGTTTGAAATGTTCCTTAGTAGACGTTTTAAAAAGCAAAGAATACATGCCAATTGTAAAACAAACAAGCAAAAAACAAACAAACAAAAAAAGGAACCTTTTAAAGAAAATCAGGAAGATTTACTTTGACTAAAATATTTTCATGTAAGTACTCTATTCCAGTGCCTTTCTCATCGGTTAATCCCTCTTTAACAGCTGTTCTTATTTTTAATATGTGTGAATGTATAACATAATATAGATATCTTTGATAAAGGTGAGAGAAATGGTTTATTTTCACCTTGTATGTACTTATGATGAGCAGTCATTTAAAATGAGGTTTTTGGGGGAGGGTATAGCTCAAGTGATGCTTAGCATGCACGAGGTCCTGGGTTCAATCCCTAGTACCTCCTCTAAAAAATAAAACAAAACCCTAATCCCCCCCCACCAAAAATACAATGAGATTTTGCCTCTCCCATTTTAAGAAGAAAAAAAGGAAGCATGTCAAATCTGAATTTGCATTGGCTTAATGTCTTGTTTGCCCACGCTGAGTGTTTCATCATATTAATAGTAACTGTGAATGGCTGCACACTCTGGGCTTCATGACGGAGTACTTTCTAAGGTGACCCTATTTTCCTGATGTGGAAACTGAAGGTTCAGCAGCCTCCGATGGCTCACTGGTTAGCACACGGAGGAGGGCTGGGATGAGGACCCTGTCATTCTGCTCTGAAAGCCTGTGCTTTTGGTCCCACGTTGTGCTAGTGACAGAGTGAGCATCATGGTCTGCCAGAACTATGCGCAAGTCTGACTGTGTAGGTTGTGAGTTTTGTTTGTTTCTCTCTAGAAATTCGCACACTTTGGGGCATAGTTTCAGTTCCAGATGACTGTGTCTCATTCTGACAAGCTGAGTAACCCCAATTCTTTGACATAGGCTTGTTAAACAGATGTATACAGAATTCATTATTATATTCATCTAGTGATGAGACTTTAGGAACACAAAAGTAACTAACTATTCTTTGTTCAAAATTTTCTGTAATAAAAATAAAGAGCTTACTGCTTCTGAAATATTTGTTTGTTACATGCAACTTTTAAATGATCTCTTATTCTCTTCTACATTTCACAATTTTGGGTTCCTCATTAGTTTTATTTAACTGTACTATTTGTCTACAAAAATAAATTTTTAGTGGCTAATAAAACAGGAAGTGTTCATGGGAGAGCTTGAAAGTTGTGGAGAGTAATGAGCCTTGCGGCCCTGAAGGGTGCCACACCCTTTGGGCTTTTCTAGCAATAACATACAATATCAGTTGAACCACAAAGTGAATTGATATCTTATTGAAAATTTCCTAAACTTTCTGAGTGAAGTATTGTGAATCCCTTTCGTATTCTTGCTAAAATAAAGCTACTAGCTTGTCTGAAATTTAATCAAAATTTTGACCAAGGGAAAATGGTATTTTAAGAAGGCTAGGCATGATGTTGAAATGCATTTATGAACTTAAAGTGCGTGCAGGAACAGTACAGAGCTATCAAATTGTAGTTAATGATACCAACAAATTTGAAAGGTAGCATTGCAGATATGATTATCATTCTATGAGGATACACCTCTGTTATGGCATAAATAAATTGAAATACAGGCACTTTCCTAAGTAGATTTTAAAAAGTATATACTTGATGCATTTTGAGTTCTTTTTTTTAAATACTTCTCATGAAGTGCATAGAACAAGAGGCCAGGGGGCCACTAAGAGGCCGGCCTGATGCTGGTGGCCACAGCACCCCTGTGGTTTGTGGTGCCTCCCCACCTTTAAAATGGTTATTAAAGTTATTTGATAGACTTATGGTTGCTTTCGTTAGAGCATTAGAGTATCTTTTTCTGAGGGAGGGTCTTTCTCTTCTGTCTGTATTAGCCGGAACTATTAAGGGTGAATTTACTTTCAGATTGAAATGAAATGAATGTTTTCATTATTTATTGCTGAATAGCAGCATTTTTCAGCCTATGCGGTACAGAATTTCTGCAGGATGTTAATAGAAAAAAAAAGGTTCTTTGGACAAATAGATTGGGAAATGATGAGGCAGAGTGGGAATTCATTCAATAAACTGATTTTCCCAAACTTGCAAATCCTTTTCTCTCTGATGGAACCATCTTGGGATGTTAGTATTTCTTGTAAAACACTTTGGGAAAAGTTACTTACATAATCTTTCTTTGGCTATGAAATTGTTTAATATATATAGACCTCCATAGAAATACAGATCCTGTGCAGAAAATCACCTGATTATAAAAAGAGCAGCTACACTAGGACTGTTAAGAATTAAATCCCAAGTGAGGAAACTTAATATTTATTATAGATAGGAAATAAAGAGTGAACCCATGCCAAAGCATTGGAGACATTGTGGCTCATTTTTACTTGAGACTTTTTAGATTGAATTTCTTCATCTAGTTTTCACCAGTAGTTTGAGTACACAGAGTCTCCTCTCAGCCCCTTGCATGCTCGTCTGCCATAGAATTGCCTAGACAGGGATATAACAGAGCCATTCTGAATTTGGGTGGCTGGCAAGAGATAGCCTGAATATAGGAACTTTCTCAGACTGAGCTTTAAGAATCTGCCTTCTCTTTCAGTGGTCGTTTTGGACAAAAATATTTGAATGAATGGGTAGATGGAGGGGTGGGTGGAATGATATACTTGTGTTTGAGCTAATTCACATCATGGACCCTATGTATTTTATAGAGAGAAAAAGGATGCCTTTATGTTTTATGTGATGTACATTTTAGTACATTTACACAGGCTTTAGGATACATGCTTACTTATTTTTAAGTTGAAATATTTGATGGATTGTTCCTGTTAACAAATACATCCATCTATTACAACTTTTATAACTACAGTAGGATTGGGTTCTCCATTCTAAGGTCCGATTGTGGGGAAGAATTGGAGAGTTAAAATCTAATTATATTTGTTTGCATTTTTAGGCCCTTCATGAGCCTCCCTATTTGACAGTGGGCACTGATGTGAGTGTGAAATACAGAGGAGCCTTTTGTGAAGCCAAGATCAAGACAGCAAAAAGACTTGCCAAAGTCAAGGTACAGTATACGTAGATTTTATAAATTATATGGTTAGTATTTGATAATTAAACTTTTATTTGGTGAGTGTATTTAAGAATATTTTTCCTGCAAGATGAATTTAGTTTCTAGGAGTGATGATTGTAAAAATACCCGAAAACAAAGCATTCTTTGTGATTTTAAAGTATTGCAGTTAGAATGAAATTAGATGATCCCAGCTGGTATTTTCAATGCTGTTTCACCACAGACTTGTTATTGTTT